TTTTTCATCTTAAATCTCTTTAAAACACTTTTTAAATAATTTTTTTGAGATAAACATAGAAGTCTTGAACTTCTATCTCTTGTTATCTTAATGCCCAATACATATGAGGCTTCTTCCATATCTTTCATCTTAAAATGGGAACTAAGCCATGATTTTGTATGGTTAATCATGTCAATATCATTACCGCTATCAAAATATCATCCACATATAATGACAATAGAACAAAATTGCTTACATTATTCCAGACATATACACAATGGTCTAACCTATTGGCTATATAACCAATTTTAGTGATTACATTATGAAAAGTAAAGTACCATTGCCTAGAAGACTGTTTTAGACCATATAAAGATTTCTTAAGTTTTATACATTTTGTCTTTTTGGCCTTAAATTACATATCCTTTTGGTTGTTTCATGTATATATTTTCTTTTAATTCTCTATTTAAGAATGATGTTTTGACATCCATCTGAAATAATTCTAGATCATAATATGCAACTAATGCAAGGATGATCCTAATAGATGAAAATTTTGCTATTGAAAAATAAGTTTCTACATAATCTATGCCCTCCCTTTGGGTAAATCCTTTAGCTACCAACCTAGCTTTAATTTATCAATGAATCTATTTGCATTAAGTTTTTTCTTTATGACCCATTTGCAACTGATGACTTTTCTATCTTTAGGGAGGTCAACCAACACTCAAACTTGATTTCTTTTAATAGAATCAAGTTCATCATCCATGGCTTAAGTCTACCTAGCTGAGTCATGTAAGCTAATAACTTCACTGTAGCTACGAGGTTCATCTATTGTATCTTCACTCATTGAAGAGTAATTATCTGCATTCATAAATACATAATTTCTTCTAAAGTCGTTAAGTGGGGTTCTAGTTCTTTTAGCCATATCTGGTATACTTGATTCAATTGAATCATTCTCACCAAATGTAGAGGGAGTTTGAGAAATAGGGCCTTCCAGACCCTTATCTTTATCAATTTCATGTAAGTCAATAGGCTTATTTAAAATATTTTTATCATCTATATTTTCTAAGAAATGAGCATCACAACTCTCTACTAATGATCTAGTATCATGGTTATAGAATCTATACCCTTTAGAATTTTTTGAATATCCTATAAAAGAGTATTTTTATAGTTTTACTTTGTAATTTATATCTATTTTGTGATGGTATAAGCACATGTGCCCAAGAACCCCAAACTTTCAATATAGTAAGGTCAGGTTTCCTACATGTCCATAATTCATATGGGGTCAAGTCTATAGATGTAGTTGGAACACGATTAATAATATATATTACAGTGTTGAGAGCCTCACCCCAAAACTGAGGTGATAAATTTGAATGGCTCATCACGGACCTAACCATGTCTATTAGAGTTCTATTTCTCTTTTCAGCTACACCATTTTGTCGTGGTGTATATGTCATAGTTGTTTGATGAATTATACCATGCTCTTTACAAAATTCAAAAAATAAGGCAGAGCAATATTCACTTCCCTATCTGTTCGAAGAATTTTAATATGTCTACCTAATTAATTTTCTACCTCAACTTTATATTCTTTAAATGTTTTTAATGCATCTGATTTCTTATTAATTAGGTATACATATCCATAACGTGAATAATCATCTATAAATGTTATGAAATATTCCATACCTCTCTGTGTTTTCACATTTAATGGGCCACATTTATCAGAGTGAACAATCCTAAGTAGTTCACTAGACATTTTCCCTTTAGGAAAATGCTTCTTAATTAATTTACCAGAAATACATGGCTCGCATGTTTTGAACACAATTTCTCCTAAATTGCGGAGCAAGCATCTTTTAACCATTTGATTCATTTTGTCTTTATTTATATATCCTAATCTTAAGTGTTGTAAATATGGATCATCCATATACATAAAAGCATGAAAAGAAGCATCAATATAACCAGAAAATGATGAACTTTCATTAATATTCAGTCGATACAAATTGTCAACTTTAGTACCGTATACCAAAGCTCTAAAATGCTTCCCAATGGTAACCTGACCAGACCTGAATCTTATTTCATAACCCTTGTCGTCTAGCCATAGAACAGAAATCAAATTGTGCCTCATATTGGGAGCATACAATGTATCAATCAATAAGAGGTTTGTTCCTCCTGGTAAACACAACTTGAAAGTACCAATACCTAGTGCATCGTAGTAGGTGTCATTTCCCATATAAATCAGCTGGTTATCGGTTGCAATCTCTTTCAATTATGTGAATCCATCCTTGGTTCTCAAGACATGTCGAGTGGAGGCTGAGTCGACCCACCAATTCTCAAGTTTTGATCGGCAACTATTGATTTTAGGACTACGCAGATCAAGTCCTTTCTCTTATTTTGATTATTTCGAACATGGTTGTTTTTTTGTTCCTATTTTTATTTTTCAGCTCAGGACGATTAAACTTGATGTGCTCAATTTCCTTACAATAAAAACAGGTCTTCTCAACCTTATTCTTTTGATTTTAAAAAATTTCTCCTCATTCCCTTATATCTAGTATTTTTATGATAATTGAAAGCTTTCTTGAGGATCTGAGAAAATGAACTTTGGGCAAAGGGGAGCTCATTTGACTTCTTCCCCATTCTTTTCTCAGCTTCAATACTAAGATGCATGGAAAGTTTTAACATGGTTATCCCTTGTGCATAATGGTTCAATGCAATTACAACAAACTCCCGAGATGGAGGGAGACTGTTAATGACAATTGATATTTGCATACGATCGAGGACTGGATTCCCAACTGCAGCAAAGTCCTTTGCGAGCACTATCATTTTATTGACATGCTCGGTCACTGAGTCTGTTTCTTTCATTCTACAGGAATTATATTTTTCTAACAAGAATTGTACATGGGTTTCAGAAGTGGTCTCATACTTTTCAGATAGGGCGCCTATCATACTTTGAGCTGTGGTGTAATCCTCAAAGATTCTAATTAAATCATCATCCATAAAGCTCAACATAGTAGTCCTAACTACTTTGTCATCTTCTAACCATTTTTCAAATCTCCTTCTAGCTTGACCATTGGCAATAGGCTCTAAAACTAGTGGTTCTGTTTCTAGGACATAATCTACCCTATCTTGAAAAAGAATATATCCAATTTTTCTTTTCCACATAGAAAAATTGGTACCATTGAGTTCTTCAAATTTGAATAATTCTGACATGACTAGCCTATATGTCATTTTAAATTTTTAGATAATACCTAAAAGTTCAGAAACGAATTTAATTGTATTTAAGAAAAGGTTGTCTGCTAGCTAAATCAATAAGTTTGCTGACTCTCAGTGAGCTGCAACTTCAAAGAAAAATTTCTCGAACAGTTTATGTTCGCATTGCTGTGATGCAACAAAAAATTAATAAAGTAAGGCAACAACTACTTTTATATCAAATCTCGCATAAGAATAATTTTCATAAATATGTGAATATGTCTTAACACAAGATGGAGCGTCTATCTATGATATTTGACATTTTTCAACAAAAAATATGGCATTGCATAATCACAAAAAAAAAAAGAAGGAAAATTCACAAAGTCAAGGTCATGAAATTTTCTAACTTAAAGAGATCAAAGTATAGGATAATTATGCAATGCAATGACAATTATTATGCAAATAAAATATGTCGAAAATCTCTAAATTATAGGTCACAAAAAAATAAAAAATAATAAATATATGCAATTGATATGTAAGCCTTTACTCCAATATTACAACATCAAAGTTACTGTAAATTAAACTCCGGAAAAAAAAAAAGATATAAAATACCAAAAAAAAATTGGGACCTATTAGTTATGAGCCCACCACTCTTCCACAACCTGTTCTGATACCAACGTTGAAAAAAACTTGAGGGAAGAGATGGACCCACTCCTAGAATTAGGAGCAGTGTCTTTAGACTATCGATAGTAAAGATCAGGTTTTTACCAGAACTGTGAGAACTCTGTAAATTTCTGTATACCTCTCCATAGCTATGAAACCCTTCTTAAAGAGGGATGAGAACTCTGTAAATTTCTGTGTACTTCTTCATGGTTATGAAACCCTTTTTAAAGAGGGATGGAGGAGGCCGTTTTCGAACGTTCGGCTTCCTCCTGAAATCTCTGAAAAAACGTGGCCCTGTAATCGTGGGAAGTGGGTAGTTCCTTTTTAACAGTTAAATAAGGACACTTTCTCCCTCTAAGAAGCCTCTAAGAAGCCTCACTTTTTTAATGATAAGTATTAAATTATAAGAAAGAGAAATATTACACGTTTAAAGGCTCCATGGCCACACACATGTACCAACATTATTCTCTTTTTTATTAATAAAAAATTTGGGTAGGGGGCCTACTACTGACATACCCAAAAAAAAACTTGGGTGCGCATAGAAATTGTGTGAAAAGGTGATTGGATATATGTCCATCCAGATTGATAATCGCCAATCCTGATCAAGAATCATCCATCATCAAGCCGATTTCTTGTCAGCTTCCGCAATTTGTTATTATATAGTACATAAGAGCTACATTTTATAAGATAAAGCTTAAATCACAACATGTGCTAGAGGGGGCGGTCATTATTCTCCATGTTGGGGCTAGAAACTCTCTCATGCCTTTTTTTTTTAAAAAAAAATATGATAATAATAACGTCCACTTTTTCGCGGTCCAAAAAGCTCTTTCTTGAAGCTCAAAAAATGATCTGGTGTTCCTGACTAAGTTGTTTGCGCTAACATGTTTAAAATGCATACATTATATAACATAATTTCTTTTTTGTATTTCTTTTTCAAAAAAGAAATTCCTAAACCTGGTTGTTGTTTTGGTTGGCCGATCCAAATCAAGATCGGCAGTTCTACCCCACCAATTCATTTTTTAAAATATTATTTCAAAAGTATCTTTGATAAAGTTTTTGCGCCTATAATAACCAGCTTAGGCCCTATATGTCCTCCTTATCAAAACCCTTGCAATTACTGGCATCTATTGGTAGGTGTATTGATCACATAAACGAATGCTTAGGATTGTTATTCTTTGCATGATATATAAAACTTTCTCTACGTATTCCATTAGGAGCTCAAGCATCAAATTCTTGAGCTAAATCAGGTAGATAACCAGCCTGCCTCAAAATCAAAGCAAGTCCATCCAACACTGAATAAATACGGTCTCTCTCCGGGTGTGAGAAATCTTGCACTAAAAACTCATTAACGACACCATTAACCTCAATCGAGCTGCACCCTGGCGCCTTCTCAATTCCTCTCTCACTCATCAAATCTCTAATTTTTCTGGCATCTTCCCACCTCTGAGATTCAGCATACATATTGGAAAGCAGTACATAAACAGCTTCATCATTTGGTGATAACTCAATCAAATGGCGAGCGGCCGTCTCTGCTAGATCCACATTGTTGTGAACTCGACATGAGGCCATCAAAGTTCCCCATATAATAGCATTAGGATTCATGGGCATGCTATCTATGAGGCCACATGCTTCATCAAAAAGGCCAGCCCTGCCTAATAGATCAACCATGCATCCATAATGCTCAACACTGGGGTTTACGCCATAAATAGTATTCATTGATTTGAAGTAATGGCGCCCCTCTTGGACCATGCCCCCATGCGTGCATGCACAAAGTACAGCCATAAGGGTCATTCTATCAGGCCTCACGTCCCTTTGTTTGAGCATCTCTGTGAAGAGCTGAATGGCTTTTCGGGCATGGCCATGCATGGCAATGCCGCCCATGATCGTATTCCATGATGCAACATCCCTCCAAGTCATCCCACGAAAGACCAATAACGCAGTCTCTATGCATCCACACTTGGCGTACATGTCAATCAGTGCATTATTCACAAAAACATCGCAACCCATGTCATGCTCATCGATGTAGGCATGGATCCATCTGCCCTGATCCAAGGCACCAAGTTGAGCACATGCTGATAAAATGCTAACAAGAGTGACCTCATTAGGTTTTTCACCAAAGTTTTGCATCTTTTGAAAGAGTGATAAAGCCTCTTTGAACTGATTGCCTTGAACAAGGCCGGTAATCATAGCCGTCCACGAAAAGATATCTCTCACTCTCATTTGCCTAAAGACCGAATTTGCTCTCTCTATAGCCCCACATTTTGCATACATATTTATCAGACCATTGCCTACAAACACGTCCTTCTCTATGAGTTCAAGCTCCTCTACATAAGAGTGTAGCTTTTTGGCAAGCTTGAGATCACCCAATTGAGCACAAGCAGAGAGTACGCTAACCATTGTGAAACCATTTGGAGTTGGACCAACAAGCCTCATTTCTTCGAACAAAGCCAAAGCCTCAGTGCCCGAATTGGCTTGGGCAAACCCACCAATCATAGCATTCCAAGAAACCACATTCTTCTCTTTCATCGAATCGAAAATTCTTTTCGCTTCATATAAGCACCCACACTTCGCATACATGTTCACTAAAGCATTTCCCACGAGGAGATCAGGGCTAGGCCACTTATCCTCAATGTATTTGTGGAGCCATCGCCCCTTATTGAGAGCACCAAGTTTTGCACAGGCTGACAAAAGGCTAACAATGGTGACCCGATTAGGTGAAATTCCAGTATTTTGCATCTCTTCGAATAATAGAAAGGCTTCTTTTGAGTTGTCTGAGTTTGCATAGCCTGCAATCATGGTGGTCCACAAAACCACATCTCTTTCATCCATTTCATCAAACATACATCGTGCTACATCAAGTCTTTGAAAATTGATATAGAGGTTTAGAACTCCAGACTTGACAAAGATATCAAATTCAAACCCTAGTTTGATCACTTGCCCATGAATTGTTAATCCAGTTTTTGGTGAAGAGAGGCGAATGCAGGCCCTGATCACAATGGGTAATGTGTAATTATCAGGAGAAACTTCTCTCTCTAACATGGTTTGGTAGAGAGAGAGGGCTTCTTTTGGTTCATGGCTATGTGCATAAGCTCTGATGATGGAATTCCATATGAACATAGTAGGATGGGGAATTTGTGAAAAGAAGAGACGGTAAGCTACTTTCAAGCTTTGTGGGGTCGAGACACGGCAAAGAGCTGAGATAATGCGGCTTGCTAAAAATGTGTCTTCTATGAGAGAGGCTCTGATCATTTGGGCATGGATTTGAAGGAGAGATTTGAAGGTTTTGGCGGTTTCCAATAGAGAGAGAATTTTTGTTGAGTGGTCTGGTTCCCATGATTTTCTCAGGAATCGAACTGGGTTTTGGGGTTGGAGGGCTAGACATGAGATGAACCTGATTGTTTGGAGGAAGTAACCATGGAGTTTTGTAGTTTGGGTCATATGGAGAAGTTCAGAGAAAAGACATTGGCTCGTTTTCAGAGAGGGGGCCTCAGCAAATGGTACACACGTCTCTCTCTCTCTCTCTCTCAAAAATAGAAATATAACGAACGGATCGTATTCAAATATTCATATCATTTAACTTCTATATTTCAAAGTAATCAGCTACCTACTGCATTTATAAGCTTGTAAGAGAAAAACACCCTCACTCTTATTTCTCTCTGTTGAAATAAGAGAAGAAACAACACAACAGATCTTATTAAAATCAATAAGTCCATATCTACAAATCCAAGTAATACTGCAGAAATTTAAAAACATAAAAATAAAATGGAGGAACAATCAACACAAACACCCCCCACCTACTCAAATATTAAGAAAAACAACCTTTTCACATATTCTGAGCTAGAATATAACATGGCATAAGAGAACGACCTCTAGAATGCGTTGCTTGTTTAAGCCAAATAAGAACTCCACTGTTTCACCACATTCTTATTTGCTTAAGCACATTGCTTAGCCAAATAAGAACGAATCACCTTCACTTTTTCACTGCCTTCTTGATTGCTTGAGTGCATTGCTTGATGGATGCTTTAATGGTGGTGCCAGTTATCACTGCATTGTCATCATCATCACTTCCAACCACCGTAGGCTTCTTCCCTATACAATCTACCCCTTTCCTCATCCCCCAAATTGCAGAAGGAGATGGAGGAATATGTCCAAAAATCCGTGCACTCTCACTCCTCCCCAACCCGTTTCTGTCTCCTGCTCCTTTCTCTCTCCCACCAAAGCTCCTGCTACTGCTCCCAAACCCCTTATTATATTTCCCCACCGCTTCACCCCCACCTCTCTCTGAATTCTTCATACTCTCCACAATCTCTCCCCCACCACACCTCTCTAAACTCTTCCTACATTCAACTGATGCCCCACTATCTCTCTCTAGACTTGTCCTACCATTCACAATTAATTCTCTTCCACCTTTTTCTAAATTCTTCCCCTCCGAACCATCTTTCTCTCTTTTCATTCCATCTCCCTTTCCTTCTTTATCCTCTACCTGTTGCTCCAAATCATTACAAATCAGTTTCAGGCCAATAAGTAGTGATTCGTCTGTTTCCTTTATCTTCTCTCTGGCCGAACTGCTCTCCCCCACGGATAATGGAGCTAAATTATGATTTTGATCAGAAGCCAATTCATTTTCTGGTTTTTGTGTATCTTTGTGAGACTCCTCAGCTTCGTTTGACTTTTGGGGTGCTTCAGTGGCATCTGAAAGTGAACCTTCTTCCGTGTTCTCGAGCAAAATTTGGAGCCATCTCTCTATATGACCTCTACCGGTCCTCTTTCTCTCTTCAGCCTCTTCTTCTTCCGACACCCAACGACTCTTCTGGTTATTCTCTTTCATGCTTCTACTTTTGCAATTCTCTTTAATAGCCAAACTCTTAAGCTTGTTTTCCAATTCTTCCTCTTCTTCAATCTCTGAGATTTCTAAATTTGCTTTTTTATTTGAAATCTCCATAGCCGACTTATTATCATATTCATCCAATTGTTCTGGCTTAAACCCTTGAGGGAGACCTTCTTGAGAGGCCTTCTGTTCCTCGGCTAAGAAGATTCTCAGTTGTTTCTGTAACGTCTTTCTTCGTGGAGCTTCTGGTAAAGAGAGAATAGGTTTATGGGGGCTTTCATTAATGGAGGGATCATCCTTTCTCGATCTCTTTCGAGCTTTTTCCATGTCTGGTTTGATCTGGTTTTCGATTTCTTCTCGCTGTTTGAAGAGCCTGTGGAGCTCTTTCTCAGAGGAATCACAGATGGCTTTCTGAGCTTCTAGTCTGGCTCTAAGTGCATTTGCGGCAGCCTGGTTCAACCTGGACTGCTCCTTGTAAACGATACTCCTGCAAAGAGAGAAAGACAGAGACTTTAGAGAGAGAGAGAGAGGGATTCCAATGGATTAAAAGGATGGAGAATTTATGGAATTAGGAGGAGAGAGAGAGAGAAGAGAGAGAGAGAGAGATATATTTATAGGGACCAAAAGCAAGGAGCAGCAAAAGATTCATACTGGTGCATGGCATCTCGTATCATCTTCTCGAGAACGGCTCTGTAAGATGACTGTGCCTCTGCTAATCTCCTACACTTCTCAACCCTTCGTCTCCTCCTTATCAGAACACATTCCAGGTCTTGGAGAGCTGTTCTCTCTGCGTCATTCTTCTCTTTTAGTTCAATCAATTCCTCATCCAATTTAAGAATCTCAGCTTGCTTCTTTGCCACCTCTTCCTTCTGCTTCTGAATATCAGTGAACATGGTCATGTGTCTTTCTCTGTTGTTATCAGGGAGATCATTTTCCTTCAAAGCATGAGGCCCAAATCTCTGAATAGCTTTACAGAGAGTTTCATCTTCCTCAACCAAGCCATTTCTTGCTGGCGAGGACAAAGCTGGCAAATATCATAACCACTCAAGACGAGAGTGAGAGAGAGTGTAATGGAAACAATTTTAGAGAGAGAGAGCCCACAAGTAATGGAAACAATTTTAAAGAGAGAGAGAGAGAGAGCACACAAGTAATGGCAAAAATTTTATGGTTACTTACCAATTGCAGAGGTGTTCGGTCTTGGGGTTCGGTTGATATCAAGAGATTTCAGAACTGAGAAGTTTGGGTCTCTTCCTGAATGAACAATGGCAGCTGGAGCAAGACCCACTTGACGTTTCTTCTCCTTGAAATGTTGTGGGAAAGAATGGCACTGAATAATCTCTGATACATCGTACTGCTCGTTTTCCCCATCAGAGAAAAGCAAATAAAAAGCTCTTTGCCTGCAAAAAACAAAAGAACAGTTAATTGAAGCCATTAATTTGCAGAATTCAGCTGCTTTTCATCAATAACAGCTTAGAAATTAGGACAATTCTCACCTGAAATCTGAATTTCTTGAAGCAAACACTGAAAGGAACTGGTCTACTGAAATGCCCAATTGTAGATCCCACCATGGCATCAGAAATTCAAGCTTGTTATTCTTCTTCTGGCACACCTGCCATTGCAGAAGCCTCAAATTGCTTGTAACAGTCTTTCCTCCCCCTGAAATTAGAGACCATGAAATCTGAATATCTATTGTTACAAACCCAGTTAATCCAATAATCCTAAATATTTTTTTCCTTTATTTGGGTGGTTAATTTACCTAGAAAAGGTCTGCAAATTCTTACTTGTGATATTGGGAACCCCTGAAAGCCCTATATATCTTCTATTTTGGTTGTGTGGTTAATTTACGGAGAACAGGTCTGTGAATTCTTACTTGAACTGGGAAATAGGTCTGTGAATTCTTACTTGAACTAGGAAATGAATTTATGGAGACTTAAGAAACCTAAATTTGTTTCGTTAAAGACCATGAGCCCCAAACATTTTCCATTTCTCTTTTAAGGTGGATGAAATTCTTACTTGATAGGAAATCACTCACCAAGCTTATAACAGACTGAAAATCCTAGATAATTTTTGTGATTTCTTTGGGAAGTACTCAGAGGAAAAGTCAATGAATCTTTACTTAAAATAGAAAATCACTTATCAAGCTCAATACAGAATGAAAAAACTTATATTGCTTTTTTTTTGGGTGGATAATTTACAGAGAAATGATCTGAGAATTCTTACTAGAAATTGGAAACCAGTGGTCAATTTCCCAAGCTAGAGGAGAAGCTGGATCAGCATGATAGAACAGAACATTCCCATATGGATCAACTCTGAACTTTGTTGGATCGAAGCCTGCATTCCTGTAATCAAATTAAAGGAAACAATAACTGTTAGAAACCCAAATTGATTTTGGAATTTATAAATGAAATTAAAGAAAATCTAAATAAGAATTATAAGAAACCATTTTCAATTTCTTAAATTTATACACGAAATTAACAAGTAAAGCCAATTCCAAGCTCCTACCCTAGATGATCAAGTCGTTTCCATAGAAGATCAGCATATCTCTTTGCATTGACAGCAGCCTTTCCTTCTGTTTCAACCACGGGAAACATCTGGTTCAACTCCCTTGCTCTCAAAACCTGCAAAAATTTAACCCCCAAATACGAGAAAATAAGAAAGTCAACCCATGATCCAAGAACCCCCCATGATTCAGGAAACCACCAGACCAGTATATCTTACCAATATGAGAAATGAGAAGAAAACCCAAAACAGGGAAGAGGAAGAAGATGGGGCTCTCTTACATCTTGAGGGTGTAGAATATACGGAATGTATGTCGATGGAGGTCCTTGGCTATAAGGATTGACGAGATGCGGATATTTACAGAGCTTTCCGTAGGCCCTTGGGTAACCAAGGCCTTCATCAACCATCATTTCTTCATCCGAGAATTTCAAAATATTGCTCGTCATAGCTTCTTCAGGAAGCACTTGTGCAGAGAGCATGGGAAGAAACCCAGAGAGAGGAAGTAAATGGTGTTTAAATGGGGAGAGAGAGAGAGAGAGAGAGCGAGAGAGAGAGAGAGAGAGAGAGAGAAAGGGAGCTGGTGAAGAAAAGCAATGGGGAGAGAGAAAACTTTTGAATTGCAGAGGATGAATAACGGTCACAGTGAAAGCATTCAAATGAGAAACCAGGTCATGGGAGGTGGATGAGTCCCAACGGCTATGTATGACGTGGCGTACCAGGGAATGAATATTCCCCTTTCGTGTAAATATCAGAAAAAAATTACAATGATTGATATCATCACCTTAAAAACCAGCTTTCTCTGACTAAGTCCACGAAAAGTAAGCTTTTCTCTCTCTAATTGAGTGCTCATCATTTGCCAGTAGTGGAATGCCACGTGACGTTCACTAATTGGGTGACAGTTGCCAAGCTCAAACTCGTGGAACCTGTAGGGTCGGGCGTTACAAGTAAATTTCGGTATGTTTTGATGGATTTCGGCAAGTTCTGATAATTTTCGTTCGTTAAGTTTCAGTGGCCAAACAGAGGAGACTTCCACTAAGATCAAGAAGTGTTCGCAATTATATTCCTTATGACTTCGTTACAAAGTTTTTCTGGCAGATTCATTGAGTATTCAAATTTCAAAACTTATACCCACAGTGAAGATTTAGGACTAGAGTCCAAATTCACCGAAAGCCTACATTCTCATTTATCTCAAACTGAACCAAAATGATTAATCTTCTTCTTTTTTTTGTAGCCTTGCTTTTTAACCAAAACAATGATTAATCACAAGAGGAAGGAGTCCTCTCTCTCTCTCCCTACCTTTTTTTTCTTTTTTTCTTTTTTTTTTTTTTTTTTTTGATTTTTAGATAGTAACATACAACTTATCATTAATTCAAATATAAAATACAAGTTATTCAAACAAAAGCACAATATTACATAAATGAAACAACCAACAAAGAGGGAGCATAAACGACGTCTTCATTACAATCACAATTTTGGTTGAGTGCTCTCTCTCTCATATTACAATCTCTCTCTCAAGTTTCTCTCTTACTACAATTTCACTTTCTTTTGATTGCTCTCTCTCTCTCACACACATACTACAATCTCACTTTCTTTTGACTGCTTTCTCTTAAGCTTCTCATTGCAATCTCACTTTCTTTTGAGTGCTCTCTCACAAGTTACAAACCCGATTTCTTTTGAGTGCTCTCTCTCTCTCTCAAATTATAATCTCGATTTCTTTTAAGCGCTCTCTCTTTCTCTCTCTCTCTTCCCCCCGGAGGGGCAAATTGGAAAAGGATCCATCTCTCAAAAATTGATTGTAGACCACGCTTGTCTTAGTTAATCTCCCAAGGCTCGCCATTTTGAGACTATTTCCCTTATTTAACAAATTGACCTTATTTATTAAGGGAATATCTAAAAAAAAGTTTATATAAGATTGACACTATAAAATTAGAATTAAAGTGGACCTCTAAAAGAGGTTGTTTTGATGTTGAAAAAACATCTAATTGATCATTTCAAGATCCAGATGGATAGATATGGAGAAAAAAGATATTTCATATTCTAAAAATAGTACATCGTACCACACATTATCAGGACCGTCCATTTTCAAAATTTTCATGCGTTTATAGTCCTGCTTAATTTGAATCATTTTTGAAATTTAGTTTTATGTCAAAATTCTCGCACCATCCTCATAATTTTCGACATCAAAATTGCATCCCATCACAAAGTTTGGAATTGCACCTTACTTAAATGGTTTAAGGATACCACACCCTATCAAGCTAAACATCTTTTTTCAATTAAAGCAACTCCGTTTGCTTTTTCCTAGCATTTTAAATCCCGTTGTCCTTTATTTAATTTTTTGGAATTTTGTCGATCGGTTACTTAGAACGCTTCTATTTTTTTTTTATCAAATCAACTTTTCATGATTTAACTCAAGTTTTCCATAACTTTGGATCCTTTCGGCGTAAATTTTTATGGGATTGTAGATAATGAGATTTATGCTTTTGTACACAAAGGTGAGGCCTCCATTTAAAATCACAGGGCTAAGGTGTACAATTTCTCCGTATAGATTTTGATAAAAAAAAAATTCATACTTTGAATTCACATTTAACAAATAGAGGTGATTCTGACCTTATAGTACCAAAAATAATATATATATATATGAGACCATTTATCATTTTTTACAAGGTGATCACAATTGCTACTAGCCACTAGATATCAAAATAGATAGCTTAGGGTATGCACAAAGTTCAAAAAATTATTTTTTAACGTTGAATCTAGTCAATGACACACTCACAACCACTTAATTTAAAATCTGACGGACAAGCGTGATTGTGACCTCTTTATATTAGAAGTAGTCTCTTTATATGCTTTTTTTATATATAGTGGTGATTGTGACCTTATTTTACCAAAAAATAATTCTATAAAGCCTTCGCCTTATGAAAAACAAATAGAGTAAAACCTCACCTGGAAATCTTGTCCAGTAAGTACTTTGTGCATGTGAAATCACTATGATAGCTCTATAATCTATTTCTATCACCGATTACAAAGTTTATAGCTAAAAATCTCCTATGGATATGAACATCTGAAAATAGACAGTCTAGATAATATGTTACAATTATGCACTATTTTTAGTGCTTGAAATCCAAATCTTTTTCACAACCATTATGATCAAGGTTAAGATGATCAATTTAAAGGTATTTCGACGTAAGAACTATAAGTTTTGGTGACTTTTGAGGTGAGGCTTTACTTTTTTCCTTAAAGCCTTGGCCTTATGGAACTATTTTCCAAAAGAAAATGATCTAATATATTTCACCTTGTATAGGATAATGTACAATTCACAACCTTATAAAATAGAAAGGCTAATGTTAGAATGAGTTGTGAATGATAAATTTACTAACTATTCTGCTTCTTTTTTAAATAAAATTACCTTTAGTCATATCTTGTTCATCAAATAAAGGTGTTTACATAAATATCACCAAAAGACAATGGGTATTTTTGTCATCTTTCTAAAAAATAAAGTTGACATTTTTACAAAAAAGACAAGGGTATTCGACAAATAAAGTTTCATAACATTAACTTCAAAAAACTATTGTAGTTGGGTAAAAATCTCAAATTTACCTTTAGTTAATGATTAAATTATCTATTAAAATAAATTTTTAGACAAAATAATGATTATTTGATAAATACACCTATTACAAGCCATTCTAACCTTAACCTTTATGTTTTAAAGAGTTAACCCTTACGTTTTAAAGAGTTGTTAATCTAAGCAAACCCATAGATACATATTCTAATTTTATACATCAAGATTTTCCATTGAATTAGTAAGGCACATTTAGCATTACTAAATCTCAAGTGCTATTAAAATTTTCTAGATTTTGCAAATGGTGGGAAATTGGCTGGCCCAAGATGTCTTTAGACATGGATTAGCATACCATTTCCAAGCAAGCTCGGGAAGATCCAAACTGGCTTGCCGGTTTTTAAAGTACTTATTTACAGCTGAGAAGTGTTTCTATGGGGTCCCAACAACATATAAGTTACATGTGACCCCACTTCTTAGCCATTCGATCTGAATCGAACGGCGATTGTTCATCCTCCAATATCGCGTCAAACATTGTTTTATTTTTTATTTTTTTCTACAAAATATTTTTGGATAAATTTTTGGATGTACCTTCGTAAAATTAGGGTGAACCTAAGAAAAATAAAAAATAAATATTTTCTGTACAAATAAATGATCAAAATACCCCTGTAAATTTTAGGGTATCTGGTAATTTTTCATCATCGAAAATATTTTATTATTATTTGTATCATGTGCGTCCATATCAGATCTATGCATACCCCAAATTTTGTTTTAAAATGATTTATAGAATAAAAATTAAAAATAAAAACTCTAAGCCATCGGATTAAGATCTGACGATTAAAAGCCAATTTGTGAGGGTCACATAAAAAGCCTTCCCACGACCATCCACCTAGAAACACCAATCATGTGGACCTACTTTAGGGTAAGAAAAGAAGAGCTGCATGGCTAGAACTTGTGCAACTGGTGGAAAGCTGCAACCTGAACTCACAGAACAGAGCACTTGCCCTTAAATAAATGAAAATGGAATTGTTAATCACATGCTGAGGCGTTATCTAAACTATTAAACAAATAGGTAGATATTATATTTCTTGTTTTGACAAGATTTTGTTTTTTTGTTTTCCTTTTACTGAATAGTTGACAAAGATGAGAAGTGATAAGATATTGTTTTTTGTTTTCCTTTATCTGTATAGTAGACAAAGATGAGAAGCGATAAGATATAGTGTTTTGTTTTCCTTTATCTGTATAGTTGACACTAAGAAGGTCATGAACAAGTTTAGCAAGGCATGTGTATTTTTCAGGATAAAAAAACAAGGCAGAAGACTAGTACAGGATGAATGCCAAGGCAATAAGGAAGCGTCTTATGGAAACGAAGGTTGATGTACGACCAAATTATTTTTGTTTTTAGTTTGTATTTAATTTCAAATAATATATATTTGAATTTTAATTTTGGAGTTTATTTTTAGGGTTTTTAAAGTTTTTAGATATTTTAGGTTTTGTTTTCCTATTTTTTGGACTTTTAAGAGATGTTTAGAAAAGTATTTAGTGTTAATGGTTGTTTTATGGATGCGGTTTGTATAGAGCTGAGGCTCTAAAAAATCAAATTAGAACCCACCTTCCAATATTGTCTAGAAATGTGGTGTCAATACTGGAAATTTTTGGTAAAATATATTTTTATCTTTAATTATGAAATTTAAAACTTCAAAAATAGTGTAGATCGAACAAATATATGAAAACTTGAATAACTTCAAAATTGACGGTCCAAAAATGTATTACAAGATGCACTATTTCCAAAACTTGAAATCCATTTTTTTCTCAAGTCCATGCATTTTGATGTCGAAATGATCAATTTGAGGATATTTGGGCATCAAAACAATCTGTTCTAGTGAAATTTTTTAGGTAGGCTCTAATTTGATTGGTTAGCGCCTAGGCTCCATATATTCCCTTGTTTTATTAGGGGTAAACTGTTATTATAAATTTTGTATTTAAATTCTGATTTTGGGTCATTTTATTTAGGGTGCGGTTTCTATAAGGTTGCAACCTTAAACAATCCAATTAAGGCGCACCTTAAAATTTTATTATAACATGTAATTTTGTTGTACAAAATTCTTAGTATTATCTTAAAATCTATTTTTGTATCTAATTAGAAAATTGTAAATTTCAAAAATAGTTAAAATTAAGTAGATCTATAAATATATGAAAATATTGAAAATGGACAGTCTAGATAATGTGGTCCAAGATATACTATTTCCGGGACTCAAAAACCTTTTTTTTTCCATATTCATACATCCCGATGTCGAGATGATTGATTAGAGTGTTTTTTCAACATTAAAACAACATTTCCGATAGATTTTTGAGATACATCTGTGATTCTACATTTTAAGGTTGCAACCTTATATAAACTTTTCCCTTTTATTAGTTGTATAAATACTTAACTTTGAATATTAAATAGAATATAAAAGTGGTTCGTGTGGTGCGTGGAACGTAGAGGGCTCATTCACGTGGTTTGTTTCTAAGAAAAAGAAAGAAAAATTCTCAGCTTTTGAAGCCCAATGTAGGGTTTAAGGAAGAAACCCTAGGTTTCTCACTACTTGTTGAGTGCATTTGCCCTAAATTATGGTTGATTTTTTATTTTTTATCAATTTTTTTACATTAATTTGTATCAGAGCTCAAGTTTCTTCAACAACAAGGCCAAGGAACTATAGCCAAGTCCAGGGGTAGGCCAAGGTTTGCTGATTTCTGCAAAATTTCTATTAATTTCAGCCTAGAGTTTGCCAAATTTACCTAGATCTTGCTAATTTCAGCTAGGTTCAATTGATTTCCTATTGAGGTTTTGTGATTTCAAGGAACCTATGGAAGGGGGCCTTTCATAGACCCACTTCGTAAGCCTAGAGATAAGGCGATTGAAGACCTTAGAAGCCAAATTTAGCACCTTACGCAACAGCTCGTCGACATCACTCAGGCAAGATAGGGATTTTTTTACCTATGAAGATGTCGAATTTAATCCTTTTCACTGTTGTGCTCCACATGAAGAGTCGAGTGAATAGGAATGTAATAGGAGAACTAGACATGGAGATCATCACTCCAAAGCTTTCGATATAAACAAGAACATTATTGAGTTTGATGCAGGTTGTATCCAAAATCAGTTAGTTGTAGATTGGGACTTGCTACCAATCTTCGATATATACTTAGATAAATAAGAAAATCTCTTAGGACATCTAATCTATGATGAGGTTCAAGATGAAGATCTCAATGATATCGAAGAGGAAGAGCATTCAAGAGATTTAAGGCAATGGAATCAAGGGCCCAGCAGAAGCGTGGTTGACTCATAAACCACAAATTGTGGCCCTAGATTCAACCTGTAATGAAACATATGTAGAAAAAGCCTCATAAGGTTTGAAAATTAAGTTTGAAGTGTCCTAGTCAATTTTCAAAGTGACTTTAGGATAGTTGAGTTTGATAAGCTTGTATCAATTCCTAATTGTAGATACCATGATCCATTTCTTAAGGATTTCTTCTTACCTCGAATAATATTTGAATCAACAAAGAAGGTGGAAGAAGGTGATCAGGATGTTGGATTCATCTTTGCATACTTCAAAACTCGATAATAAGTTTTTTCCAACCAAGGGAGTTCAATGCAGGACAAAATTTATTCTTGTTTTTAATTGTTATTTAATTTCAAATAATGTACATTTTAATTTTGATTTTACGATTTATTTTTAAGGTCTTCTAAATTTTTTAGGAATTCTGGTTTTTTTCTATTTTTAGGAATTGTTTAGAAAAGTATTTATGAGTGACTGAGTGTTTATCGATATTAGGGATAAACTTGTCAATACAAATTATGTGCTTAAATTAAGATTTTTTGGGTCATTTTATTAATTGTATGGACACTTAATGTCTCTTGAATATTAAAGAGAAGATAAAAGTGGTGTGTGGAGTCTAGAGGGCTCATTCATGTGATTTATTCAAATACAAAGAAAATTTCCAGGCTTTTGAAGCCCTGGGTAGGGTTTGAGGAAGAAGCCTAGGTTTCTTCTACTTGTTGTATGTTTAGCATGAAATATTGCCGATTTTCTATTTTCACCATTTTCCTTCATTAGAGGTTCTTCAAACTTCCTCTGTAGAAAGGACCTACATTTTCACAATTGTTACTTTGATATTATATTGAAACATAAAATTCTTGAAAAAAAAGTCGAACTTAATCTATCATTTTGTTTTTCTGCATCCAAGTATAAGCTAATGAAGCATATTTGGGCAACAGCATGCCAAGACCATGTAATGAAAATATCAGTCGCTAATATCAAAATCAACCAAACCATCTGAAAAGGTCTAAGAAGTATTGCCAAATCAATCTATAGGACCTGGAAATGTAGTAAAGGTAAGTCTCTCTACACGACTCAGTAATTGGGTAATTGAATTCCCATGTGCTAAGATGATCACCAATGAGAATCCTTGTCCATAAGTAAACTACCAAGTAGCCAAAACACTGGAATAATCTACTTATGTAATTAGCACACCAACCTTTTCTACCACACCTCTATTTACCACAATAACCCTTCATAGTTCCTACGATTTGTTATCAAGCATCCAGCTGCATTTGGAGGATCTGACATAGTTACTGCGATTAGGATCAAGACCAGTTTTGGGATCAGACTGGGAGCGAGAGATAGTGAAAGGCTAGAAGGCCCTCAAGATTCTGATCACCATCCATACACCCTAAAATTTAGACCAATATCCCAACTTTAGGGTGTATGGATCCCAACTTACATGAATCAAATGATAAAATTCTACAGGTCCTGGCTGCATCTGGTTAAAAGTCGATTTCCTCCACTGCACTTAACTAAGGTTCCCTAGATCAGGAGCAGTCTATATAATATTACAAATAATTAATGAAAATTTCAAAAATTTTATTAAAAACATATTAAATTCAATAATTATGTAAGATTTTAATTTTTTGTACTTGTTTAAATGTTTATAGTTAAACTTTATAATAATGATTTAGTTTTTTATATTCTTTTGAGTGTAGTTTATGACTTTATGTAAAATAAGGATCGTGGACATTGTTCTTCATTGAAGAAAAACTTACTAAGATACATACTGACGCCCGGTGTTTGAATTTGTGACCTGTTAAAGAGGCCAAGAGGTCCAGTATAGTCTACTCCTTTCGGGGATCATATGGAAAAACCAAAACCTACAACTAATACATTATGCAAAATAGGCTCTTACTTAGCATCAACTTGAAGCTCAATTCTCGAACTCATGGCCTGTAAAAGAGGCCGATAAATACAGCAGAGTCTGAATTTTGAGCCACATTTGTGGAACCTTGGTTTGGTCTACCTATGAGCCCTCAAATATGATGCTCAAGAATCTAGATCCCAAGTAACTCAAGACCTAGATCCCTATTAGAAAAGATCAAGATGCCAAAGTTTAAAAATCACAGAAGAGAGAGATTTCCCTCCTCAGAGCATAAGAGCGAGATTTAGGAGTAGGATCGACCCATTGATTGGGAAATCCCAGTAACCATGGGATCTAATATACCACTATTTAAGAGTCAAACGGCCAAATCCGTACAGTTCTTTGACTTGCAAAACTTCTCATCGTAGACCAAGTAAGCCTATTTGAGGTCACTATTACCCCACCAAAGGAATCAGCCAGGACTTCTACTTAGTTCCTCCCTTCTCTTCAACATTTTCTCTCTCTTATAAAGTTGTTCATGAGTTATCTCCTCTCCTTCTCTCATGCACCTCCACTGTTCCATCTCTCTCTCTCTCTCTCTCTCTCAAACACACACGCACATACACACGAACAAATAACTCTCTATTTCCAATGAAATTTGTCCTATAAACTCTCTGCTACCCCCTAGCATTACCTACAACTGATGTACCCCCATCTTCCCGTAAAACAACATCGAACATATAAGCAGCTCCCTCATCCCCTCTTCCTTAATCCTTTGCACCTCCTTTTTTTGTTCCACTTATTGGGCAGTTTAATTCTGTAGAGACCGTCATGTAATTGTTGGCTGTGGCAATGGACATAGAAAGATGCACACAATATGTTTATTATGTGTGTGATTGAATTCAACATAAGAAATGCTAAGAATATAGCATGGAGTAAGACAAAGGCATGGATTGATTCACTTTCTAAAGACTGTACATACCTTTTATTTCTCATCTCCTTACCTTATGGAGATGATGACATGTCTCAAACATGTTAGATGATCTTTGGGCAGAGAGAGTACTTGAGATCTTTGAAAAACCTTACAATTGTTTCTGCCTTTCCTGGCGAAAGATCTGTGTTCTCTAGTATGAATTCCTTGGAAGCCTTGGATATTGCTTCAATGGAACCAATCGCTTGTATTAGCTGGAAGAATAGGATACATATTATCTTCTAGCAAAGTTACTTTACGGCATGCATAGCCAAAAAATGGTTACTTTATGGTTTCAGTACACACACAAGCATTGCAACACACAAGTTTGCAAGAGCCCCAAAAGACATGCATGCACGGGCACACCACCAATGTAGATAGGCAATTAAACTCTCTAAACACATGCATGCACAAGTATACTAGTAATGCACAGAGCCATTTGAAATACAGTCTCTCTTTCACCATGTGTAACGAAAGTTGAGACTATGTCTCTCTGTCACCATACATTCAGAAACTTGAAACTCTATTCATCAAAACAGAGAACTCCCCCACCCCCCACCCCTCTCTCTCTTTCTCACTCGCACACACAAACACACACAGCAGGCAGCTTTTTTATTTACCGCATTTGCATCATGGTTTTCCAGGCCAGGTATAGATGTGACCACTTTAATGAAAGCTTCCATACCCTGTACTGACCGCTCACGCTTTGGCAGGCCATAACCATTATCTTTAGCTACATCTTCAAGTCAACAATAACGTAAAACAAAAAAATGGGTGTGCCAACTGACCTCAATCTTCAACTTGGAAATGGCATTCTGCCTTTTACATTCTGTAAAAGAAAAAGATTTGACATCTGATATAGATTTAAATAACCATGGTTTCTCTCAGATAGTTATAAGATTGATACTTTACCTCCATTAATGTGCGCTATATTCACAATCTTCTCGAACCCTATTTCCAGGTTCTCGACAACAATAAATGTCGGTCTACCAATTTCTATACCATACCTACACTACAACTATGCTGTTAAAATCCTCACCAGTAATGAGAGGTTGATCACCATTAAATTCATTGATGTCCATCCATTTGCAAAAGAAGTAGCTACTGTTTTTCTGCATTTTGGGGTAAAGGCCATCTGACTTCTGAAGTAGCTTGAAGATGGCAGCAAGGTTACAAAGGGATCCCTATCATACAGCTGACCCCTCTCTCTCCGGCAAGTCCCCAAGAAAGAGAAACATTGTTTTGGACAAATAACTAACACATACGTACAGATTCACACAACACAAACACATACACCCCTTTCCACCTTTACATGCAGTGTTTGAATAAGATAGAAGCAATTGGGTATTCATGTTCCCTTCCAAACCCTCATGGCACAGTCCAAATGAACAGTGCTCCAAATTTCAGAAAACAGTAACTAGTTGTTGCAAATGGCAGTAAGCAATGAATTTTAAAGGCAATGACCCTCTAGTCAATACAGATTACAAACAGTAACTCACAGAGTTAAAATTCTGCAACTTACTCGAAGAACAACTTGATGAAAGACTCATTTTGTTCCTTCGTTGAAACAGTTATGACAGCATAAAAATGGCCAAACTGGCATTTCAACTTCTTTATTCTGTACAATAACATGTTTGTAAAACAGATCGTGAGTTACAAATATAGTAGCTTCATGTTGATATATAATGCCAATGAAACAATGATTACAGCCATAAAAAAATAAAAGAGAAGTCGGAAATTAATCCAGCTTCATACCTGCTCATGGTCGGGGCAATATTCTGATAATCCCAATTTGTTATGAAGATGAAAGCTACAGATACGCCCCCATTGTTGACAATGAAATCCTTCACCTCGAATTTACATAGCTTTAGCAAAGAACTAGAGGCCAGTGTAAGAACAGAAGGCAGGTATACCATAATCTATGGCCTATGGTATGTTACCCTCCACGCTAGATCGACTCTTCATTCCCACCAAAGAATTGTTCAATTAACTGCACCATGATGAATGCCCCTGTGGCCCTCATCCTGTTAATCTTCAGCCATTCATGAATAGGAATGAAGGTGTTTTCCTTTTTGGAGTGCCATTTACCATAGTCAAATGCATTATGGTATAATTTCCCTAGAAACAGATAATACGAATTTGCAGTCAAATGCAGTTACCGGAGCGATAGGAAGGAAGTTAAGCCGGTAAGAATTTGCAGACAGGAAGGAAGCTATGAAACAGATAATTGCGGGTTGTTGCTTGTCTCTCCAAGCGTTACTCATCATACATACACCATTCCCTTCATATAACATTCAATTTTTACAGTGAGAAAACAATATGAGAAAAACTGAACTTGAAGGATTGTTTTTTGACCCCAAAGTTGAGGCCCAACTCAATTAAGGGTTGGGTGGAGTTGACTAGGGACTCATCGAAATCAACTCAATAAATCAATTGGAGGCATGACTAGGAAAATTATCAATTTTTAATAATTTCTTTAGACATTTCATCAAGTTAAATAACATCAAATGCAGAAAAATATAAAAGTTCAAAACTAAGGAAATATATAGAAAGAAAATTAAATTCATTACTTTTCATTTTCATAAGGGAAAGGTTCTTAGCAACCTAGGTCTGGGAGTGGAGGTGAATCAAGATTCCAGAGCAGGAGTGATGCCATAATGACAAGGTTCCTACAGCTAAGAATAAACTAGAAGATTGGCTCTTGATAAAGCTCATTAGGTCTCAAAACTAGGTTTAAAGTGCTCATTCCCATGGCTCGATTCAGTTCCCACAGCTTTAAACTCTTTGGTCAGCAACCATTTGGATCATAATTAACTTGTCATCTTCCAAGGTCCAATTCTCTTATATATTCAATTGATAGCCTGTTGCTTCCAATTTATATTTTCCACCAATTTCAACAATTTAGGAGTCTCAGAGATGTCCATTGACTTGAAAGAAGCTGTTACTTAGCTTTAATTTTCATTACTTGAAGATGATGATTCAAACCTGTTGATTTAAGTTGGAATACAAATTATCACTAGCTTGAAAATGTTGATTTTAATTTGAGTTGTACTGATATTGAATAACTAAGTATTCTTCCCTTAACATTAGTCTAATTTTATATTATGAGTGCCCTTAGGCCTACATTTGGATGGGGTTAATTCTCTACCAACAATATTTCTAACTCCAGAACTTAGAAATTTAGTCCAATGGATAGGATCTGTTTGTTTATTTATTTATT